AGACACTAAAAATTCTCAAGTTAGGCCTTCCGAAATCTCAAATCAAGGCTTTCAGAACTGACCTTAAAGAAAAATTTGAAGTTCATTTCCGAAACCTTTAACTTGAGACATTCAAAAGTGTCATTTTAAGGAATGATACTTAATTTCCTCATAACGATCAGTATAGTCACCGCTCCACTCTCGCCTCAATTCCCGCCCTTTGCACTTGCAAATGTAATGAGGCTAGGCCGAAGCACAACCCACTCCCCCATGTACTAACACGTACTATTGAGGTACGCTACAAGAGGCAAACTATATGAGCCTTCATCTGTCCTCAAATGGTATTCTCCGAACCAAACCGGACAGCGATAATTCGCAATCGCGCCCGCTTCCGAGAGGATTAGTAGTACTAATGGCACTGGAATATCTAGGTGATTATTCCTCCTCCCCGGGTTACAGTTTGGCGCAGGTATACACCCCCCAGAGTATTACAGGGACTTATCGACCTATCCGCATGGAAACATGAGTGAGCGTCGAAAAACAGTCCAATTCCGAAATCCTTGCTATTCACAAAGAGACAATGTAGAGATCTGAAGCGATTCGACACGAGTGCAGAGATCTAATCCTTATTTACATAAATAATCAATCGACTGAGACAATCAGGCCGCCCCCGTACTGCGGGCCACCTCCAGATCCATCCGGGCGTCCGCTCCACCCCAATTATCATAATTTTTATTTAATTTATCATGTAATCATTCATGCGAAATATCGTCGAACTCCCATCGCAATTCTGATCAGGTTCTCTGATAAACCCGTAAATAATGCTTTTCATCACACCTCCAGTGATGACAATAAAAGCAGAAGTATGAGAATCATGAAGTGAATTTGATGAAGCGTTCGCAATATGGCATGAAGAATACTGGAGCGGATTCCACAGTAGGATCTACGCAAACCCTAACCGCTATTACATAACTCTGAGATAATAAAATCAAAGATAAATAAAAATCAATAACTATACATTATACATTTAATTAAATTCAAACTTGGCTCGTACGGCCGCCGATAACCACAGACTATTAAAAACAGGTTTTTTATTAAATCATTAAAGATGAGATTTCAAATGCTTTATGGATGCAGCAACAAGTCTTCAGGATTTCCTCTTCAATATGCATTTCTTTCGCGGATATTTCCGGGGATTGATCGCTGTAATTGCCGCACTCAATGCTCTTTATCGTCGGTTAATCAATCGAGGAGTTGAAAATTCATAAAATCAAATTTTCATTCAGTCGCAATAGAATTACCATTCATTAATTCACAATGCAGTTCTTTATGAATAAACGAGGATGTGTTGTGAGTGAAAATAGTCCCCCGAAGGAAGGAATAGGGTTTTAGTGTGGGTGAATTGAATTTTCCTCGGCTGGCCGTTCGTTGTTACCTCCCAGCCCCCCGCATTTGGTTATATGCACAACAGTGACCGCGCAACGTCGCTGGTTCGACAATAGAAGCAATCGCTACTCGAATAACAAAAGGGTTTATACTTGTTGCGCTCTCTCCCACGTTTTTCTTCAACCTAGGGGAGTTTCACATTTTAACCTCGCCGAAAAAGAAGTGGGAGACAAAGGAAACAAACCGGAACAATGCTTGCGTTGGGAGGGCCTTTGTTTGGACGAGACAATCGGCTGGGAGGGTTTTTTTACTATTTGCAAAACTTGGAGGTGACAATTTAATGCGAGAAATGGGGGGGGATTGGAGTTCTTTCAATGTCACAATGTAAAAGGGGGGGTTATCTCGAGGTGTCTATTTTTTGGATGGAAAAGTACGTAGTGTTTTGAAAGGAAAGTCATGGAGTGTGGAGGGGTTTTTCTTATGCTCTAGATATCATCGTGAGAAAAGAATTGTTATTGCATAACTCCAGTAAACATTACATTATTTTTTTTCAAAATTACACAAATAGATTGTAATTTTTACTGATGTTGAAGTATATTTGTGAAATTTTCATTAAAAATATTGTAATTTACACGAAAATAATATGATTTTTCGGTCGAAATTCGGTAAAAAATTCAGGGTAAATTTTATTTGTCCATAATATCTATGAAATCGGCGAAAAAAGATCGTATTTTTGCATTCTTTTTCCTCATAACCTTCAGTGTGTTCAACGCCCCACATTCGGGAATTTCGCCTGTGGCGGGCACATCCAAAGAGTCATTTCATTTTCGGTAGTACATAAATCGTCGGCGATAAACAGCGTGTAAACACAACGGGCCGGAGCTCAAGGGAGAAATCGATTGTTTGCGAGCCGTCGACGGACCATCCGGTTGATCCGCGCACCACTAGGGCTGACTACCACGCGTACACCCACCACTTTTCCACGGCCAAAATGTCCGTCCATCGCTCTCTCATTAATATCACTCATGGAGTTCTCGTTGACGTGAATTTCCATGGTTATGGAGTCAGTGTTCGGAGTGATTAACTTTTTCATTTCTTGAAAACAATTGAAATGAATCATTTCAATTTTTCTTTCCTGAGATTTTGTAGAACTACAACTATTTCAGCAGAAATTACCTTCGCGGCGAGATAAATTCTTCGAAATAAAAGAAAATAATTCACATTTTTCATTACACTGGATTTTTATTCAATCTCACTTGATTTGATTTAATCATTAAATGTGTACGTCCGCGTGAAAAGGGTCCACTTTGTCGCATCTAGTTTCCGAGATATTCACATTTTTCTCTCCACATCTCCCATTTAAACCAATGTTAAATTGTTTTTTTGATCGTCTATACTGACGTCAGTTTTCATTCTATCGGGTTGATTTTGGGCTCAAAATGTGAGTAGATCTGATCAAGATTATCGGAACATACATAACTCCAATACCGTCAAAGTGGGCCCTTTTCATGTGGACGCCCACAAATTTTTCCATCCGCGTCGCGTACTCTGTGTTTATCATATTTGACCTCGATAGAAAAAAATGGCAATCGGGTTCCATCAAAAGGCTGACAGGCATCTGCTGCGCATTAACAGCTAGAAAATTGGAGTTAACAATTTGGATTGATCTGCAGATGGCATGCGAATCAACGAGGTGGGAAACATCACGCGCGTTGTATACTATTCCCGGAGGAAACATTGAAATGAATTCTTGTGCCAGTGGGATGGAATCGCGTGTTATTCTCTGAATCAAACATCACACATTCACTTCAATATTTTTGTAGGTTCATCAGACTTGCCCCGATGATTAGTTTTTTATTGAAATATCCATTGAAGCAAAATTTTTTACTTTGCATCAGAGTTGTTCACTATCAAATAATAAAAATAAAAGAATATATTCACTTGAATTATTCTGATTTATAACCATTTTCATGGAATAATTCAACTAAAATTCACAGTTTCCTTCGATTTTTTCATGAAAACTATGAATTTATGACGGAACTTCTTGAAAATTCAGTGAAACCATTATTATTTATAAAAATTTCCAAGAAGTGTACCGGAAATACCCTTCTCGAGCGATCATTTATAAAAGAAATTAAAAAATCGTTCAAGACAACTATAAACAAAATTCCCAAGCCTCTCAACTTGAAACACCTAGGGACAAAAAACTGCGGATCTTTGTGCCGAGGTACACCGTTAAAGGATTTTGTAAAAACTTTGCCGTGCGTTCCCGCGAGCGAGGGTAAGAAAGAAGGGGAGAAACTTGGAGAAGAGACCATCGAGGATCGATAAGTCGGTTGTCTGAGAAAATAAGGGAGCGTTGGGTGTGATCGTGTTATTACAAAAATGTGTCAGCATTATTAGAATCGAAATGCGATAAAAACTTGGAGGAAGTTTCGCCCAATAAGAGGGGGATTGAAAAGAGCATTGAGTGAAGAGCCCTATCAAAACACTTTTCATTACTGAATATCAGCAATCTCACTGAAAATTCACCCCAATTTTTTCACCGATTTCAATCGATTTTCCGTAATAGTTCTTAATGCGGCATTTTCCCTCGAAATACAAAATGAAACATGTTGTACAGGAATTCCCAAGTTCAGTTGTATGCAAACAGTGGCTCGATAAAACGTCCTGAGGGCCCATCATGCAGAAATAAAAGAATCCGATAAATGCCCTCATCCCTTCTAGAATTCCCAGAAGCTGTTTGAATGGCAGAATAAACCATGCATAATGTTTTCATTTTCTCTCTCCCCCGAACAGTTTCTCACTGCTGTTCCCCCGCACTCCAGCCTCCGACAATGGCTGGAGAGAAACTCCTGACGGAGTCTTTACCCCAAATCGAAGAGCGGCACAAGCATAACAAAATAAAAAAAACATACAAGTAAATAAACAGAACTGCTCGCAAAAAGATCAATTCGCGCTCGATTTAACTCGCCATACAGAGCAATTCTCCTCCCCCCGAAAAATCGATCCACGGATATTACGCCGCACACGGCTAACATCCGACCGTTGGATATACCCAGAAGACGGAATAAGAGATTACACAGGAGCGACATTGCTTGGCTTTTCCACCGAGTGTCGCAATAAATTCACAAAAACCATTTTACGTGTCCAACCGTCCCCCGGCAAGAACTCTTTATCCAGTTGTAGAAAAAGAAACTCGAGTAAAAAGGTGTTCAGTTGCTTCCGGTTCGCTTGTTTCGAGTCTCGCCCACTCAACATGAGAATAAAAATGTCAGAGTAAATCCACGGCGATAAATTAAAACTATCCACCATTCTTATGCAGCTCCTAAACGAGTGATAAAAATTCCAGCCTTCATCGGGGCTTGACACCTTCTCCCACCCCCCGCGAAAGCTTATCGTATCTTTCATTTCTTCTCACCCCTCGACGATTATCGAGCCCTCCGAGAGCAAAGAAAAATGATCAAAACTTTGATTAATGATAGCCAAGAGAGAACTATTGATCACACTGATGTGAAAGATGGAGATATAGAGAAACTAAGTCTTAGATTAAAAGTAAACTAAAACGGCGCGTTCGACAAACGAGAGTTTTAATAATTTTCTTTTGAAATGGTCTTGATTGATGAATACACTAGTGCGGATGAGGGTTTTGACGGGACGTACCAAACAAACGTGGTGGTCACGCATAACGGCAGTTGCCTGTACGTCCCACCGGGCATCTTCAAGAGCACATGCAAGATAGACATCACTTGGTTCCCCTTTGACGACCAACACTGTGACATGAAGTTCGGATCCTGGACCTACGACGGCAACCAGGTACACCCAACTGTCCCACCAGAAACACGTACACTTGCCAGAAACACCAGAATAAAAAAATATATATATAGCACCATTATCAAATTTTCCAACATCCCGTTTCACTCATTGGCCTGTCACTCCAATCATAGAATCAAGTACCATCCACCAAATTGCGGTAATTAATTGACGTGGCGTGACTCGTTCATTTGGCTCCACTGACGATTGACATGGACAAAAAGCTGCGAGCACTGCTCGAAATGCCAACTGCTATTTTATACATCAACAAATACATATTGATGTTTTGTCAGAAGTGGAAAAAACACAAATGTTTCCGGATGGATTGATATGTCGGAACGTGCAGCGTGCAAGGAGAATTGAATGTATTCATGAGCTTACGATGCATCGCGTTGTGTACAGCATATGAGCATTCCCAAAGGCCCGAGAAGTCTTTATGAATTGTATTCCATGTGACAACCGTACTATAATTATGGGAAAACCACTGGAAATACGTGTCCCCTTGTAGTTACGGTGAATCAACCGCCCTGGGGACTCCATCCAATGACAATATCCAGCGCCAGAGGAGGATTTTAGCCTCAGAATATGCACAAGACGCTTCGTAAATTGTTAACTGTTCCCCGAACCGGGCAATTCATTAATTTAGAAAAGTTCATACCGAAGTTTTTCATTAATCGCCTTCACGAGTTGCCCTTAAACATGCAATCTGTATGCACTTGATAGCAATTTTGGCTCGGTGTTGCTCAAGCTCTGTCGACGTTTCCATAATCCCCATCGCGATTAGCACATCAAGAGTTCTCTCCTTCAAGCGTCAATTTTCATCCAACAAACTATCTCCCCTTTCTCTTCTCCTACTGAATCTTGTGATCCTTAATGCGTTTTCACAACCTTCAGAGTTGCCTCACCTATCACGCTGGCTGATAGCGATAACCGACGCTCACAGGTTGCTCGTCGTGTCTGTTATAAGTTTGAGAGTTCCTGGAATTCCCGAGACACCGCTCACTGGGGGGAAGGATCCTTTGAGATTTCACGGGGTTAATTACTAGTTTTGATTTTTTCATTTCTATTTTTGATTATTTATGAAGGCGCAGATTGTGTTTTCGATGACTTTGGGAATTAATGGTGATGATAATTGAGAGGGTTGAACTCGTCAAGATGAACCAGTTCAATTCTTTAAGGGAAAAACATGTGAGAAATGTCTCTTTGAAATTTTCTGGAGGATAATTACTTTTAGCATCGATGTTTTTGATGAATTTTGGAATTAGTATTGATGGAAATTAAGAGCTGCAACATTTTTGAGACAAATTCATTGAATTCTTGAGAAGAAAAAGGAAGATGGGAACTCGACTCTCTTGAAATTTCTTGGAGTTGATCACGAGTTTTTACTTGTCTTCTTTGTTATTTATTATTCATGTTATTTATTATTCAAAAATACAGATTGCACTTTTAATGACGTCAAGAATGCATTTTAATTACAATCAAGAGGTTGAAACTCCTCAAGGGAAAACAATGTATTTCTTGGGCAGAAAAACTGCGAGCGCCATTCTTTTCTCGAGGCAAATTACTTCATCCTACTTCAAACATCTATTTCTTGACATTCATAAATGTAATTCCAAATGATTACTATTGACTATTCCTTTGACATTTCTCAAATTAAATTACCACTCTCAATCTCCAATTTCACCATCTCGTTATTTATAAAGATAGAGATTGCACTTTTGATTGAAATAAAGCTAACAATGACTCTCCGAATCGATATCAATTAAAACCAAGAGCTTGAAGCTCCCCGAGACAAATCAATTGCATTCCCTGCGAGGAAAAAAACCCCATGAAGAAGAATCTGAAGAATAGGATTCATTCATGAAAAGAAAGCTGAGAGTGTACAATGGAGAAAAATGGATTGAGATCCTAGAGTCACTTCGACAGCCCTCTTCTCCGAGAAATTAAGTTTCCAGTCAATCCCCACCGTCCGTGACCCAGCAGTGTTACTTGTTCATCGTGAACTCACTGAGGAATTCTCAGGATGAAATCCTCAATGGAACCAATCGTCGAGCAGCGCCACGCCGAAAAGAAGAGAAAAACCGCCCTGAAAAGCCCACAGTCCAGTCCTCTGACATTTATGATCCCGCTCTCCCTCCGAATCATGACAATCCCCACCTCTGTCACATGCTCTTCGCTGTCTCACTCTGTTTCTGTTCGTCTGACTGCCCCGACACTCTATAGCGCATATACATTAGCCACAGCTGTATAGATAGCCGTTTTCACGCTTCGTAGCTTCAAAGATACCAAATATCATATTTCTTTGATTTACATATCCACAAACATTATCTTCCTTCACAAAGAGGATCTGACTAATGAGCGGTGGACAGATGAGAGAGATTATCGAGGACATTTCGGTGAAATAAATAACCCCATGAATATCTGAAAAGTTGATGAATGAATAAATAATCCGGGATACTCGGTATTGCCACGAAACTCGGTAAATCATCTGAACAAAATTACAAACTTCAGCAGAAGATGACAGAGTGCGGGAGAAAGCTTTTCACGTTCACGGTAGTTAAGGAACCCACGACACCTCCAACTTTGCGGCGCAGTTGGCAGATCTGCTTCGACGTCTGTGCCAATCTAACTTACCAGATACTCCGATATATAACATGACTCGCGATCCAACGGAATATCCACCCCCATCCGGACGCCCGTAGACCAGCGCCAAGAGGCTATCCTCAGCCACGAATTAGCGTCAACTTCATTTTGCACTTGTGAGAATACGTCGGATGGAAGTAATTCGCGGTATCCGCACTCCACCACTCCGCCCCCGATTTCGTTTGTTTCCGGGGTATTCAAAAACACCTTTTGCATTCACAACTCTCAACAATGGAATAGTGTTTGAAATTAACAAACTCGCGGTCTCGTTGTTTTGCGCGTCAAACTTTTGAAAATTTCATTATGACAAACCGAGAATTACTGGTGAGCAATTGAGAGTAGCTTTATGAATTGCAGAGTTCATTATTTTTTACGATTTTTACCGACGAACGAGATGATGAGAGCAGTATGAATTATGTGAATTAAAATTTCAAATTTCTTCCCCACTATGTCATCATCATTACCAGAGTAGAGTGAATTCCTCATCAATGCGAATGTCCTCGATCAACTCTCGGTCCGCCAGCAACAAAATCGTGTTATTGGCGCGATTAAAAGCCCATTATAATGACTTTGAAATCGGGTTAAAAGGCATTACAACAATTATAAATAGAGATCGCTGTGGATTGGCTGATAACGCTTGCCGATGTTGTTTGCTTCACGCGCATTTCGTTTCAATATTACAACATATATGTATACCAACCAGACCAAGGATATTTGAAAACACGGAAGAAGATAAAGTCATCAGAGAATAAATCCAAAAATCACCAGTAAAACCACGACTAGAATAAACCGGTTTTCCATCATTTTAATTTAAGAATAACTGATAAAATATATTTCACAACACACACTACCACACATACATCGTCGAGTCAAAGCAGGGACCACGTGATTATGTCTGAGCTGGGAACCATGATTTTGCATGGAGCAACTGTCACGACGTTCTCCCATTGACTCCACAATCTCCCAAAACTCTTCCAGAATCCATTAATTTTTATTAATCAAAGCTCGCAGATGATCTCATCCGTCGTCATATCAGTAAAAACATGACCCCTTTATTCCATCGACAAGAATGTGAGAACAAGTGTCCAGAAATAACGAATGGTCTCTATCTTGCCAGCCCAGTAGCCGTCGACCCCCTGCCAGTACAAAGGTCGACGATACGATTGTTACCATCAATTCTGAGGCTCGTCGGACTCCACCGGACGATCATACCCGCAATATCAGAGCCACCGTGCAACAACCACTGCACATTTCCCGCAGTTTATCACTCGTCGAAGGTAGAAAATAGAGATAACCGGTTTCTGAGTCTCTTGCTCCCTCGGGTTTGCCCCTCTGACGTGTAGATCCACTGAAAAAGAGCAACTATTCATCTCGGTTGTGTGTTGAGTACACAACGACGAAAAAAAGCCGCAGTTGCTTCCACAAAAGACAGCCTCACCTGCATTCAAAATTTTCACATGCCATTCTCCCCCGCCGGAGAATTACCCCAATTATTACACCGAAGTTCTGGTTTTTTAAATATCAAAGGAGTATTTTCGAAAGCCATCTGAACCATGGAGAATTCAAAACAACTTTTAATTGGGCTCCATCAGGCTGTCCTTCCTTTTCTCTCCGAAATCGTCGTAATATTCGCATCGTCGCAAATTGCAACCTATTTCATTAAACTCACGTGAAACTCCGGGTCATTAAAGAAGTTATGATCCACAACGTTTTTGAATGACCCGGTGTCATTAAATTCCCCTTACCAAAAAATATACATTAAAATCTGACAATTCCTTATCAAAGACTGTTAAACTAAACGACAGTCTACGGGAACTCGGTCTCACCAAGTGAAGTGCTATTAAGAGTTATCCGAATGCCTGAACGAGGTTATACTGTTAAATAATGAGAATTGATTGCCCAAGTTTTTAGTTCTCTTCACATTGTTAGTCTCGTAAATGCGAGAGTTGGAGTTTCTCCGCGATTAGCGTCGATTATCCCCGAGGGATGAAATGAGATCAATGAATTTCTAACATCTATTGATCTATCGCGATCTGTCTAGGGTGAATCCACTGCAGAAACGAATGTCTGAATTTCACACACCTTTTGTAAACGTTTTCCAGGCAAATTTTCATTTTATTCAGACGTTTTTTAGTGTCTGAAAAATATTTTCAAAAGATGTGTGAAATGCAAACATTCGTTTTTGTTGTGTCGAGTCGCTGATTTCCTGATCAAGGTCATGAAATTCAGGAAAATTCACTAGTCCCAGAGAATAATGAGAACTCAAGCCCAACTCTTTAGTCTTCTTCTTCACATTCTTACTTTCATAAATGCGAAAGTTGGAATTATCCCCGAGTGATGAAATGAGATCAATGAATTTC